GATCCGCCCGTCTCGGCCTCCCAAAGTGCTGGGATTACAGGCTTGAGCCACCGCGCCCAGCCCAAAATGTTAATTTTTAAAGGAGTCTTTCAGCTTAAAATTATTTGAATGTTAAAGAGGCAATATTGTTTTCCTGATTTTCATTAAAATAGTCATCTTTTAATAAACACGCCTGTGACTTTTTTTTTTTTTAACTGTTGTAATGTTTTATTAAAAGCTTCATCAATTTGACTTATCCTAACACTTACTTGTGTCTTCGTATGTGCTGATCCTTCTGCTAGAACAATCTTCCTAGACTGGTCCTACTCAAACTCTGGGAAAATCCTACTCATCTTTATGACTCAGTTTGAGGGTCACTACTTCTATACTAAACTTCCCTGAGTCTCTCTCTACATCCTTCGAAGTAGACACTATATCTAACCCTCTCTCTGTATATGTGGCTTCCATGTCCATGGATTCTGCATCTGTGAATTCCACCAACCTCAGATCAAAAATATTTGGGGGAAGAAAAAGGAAGGCTGTGTCTGCACTGAACACATATGGACTTTTTTCCTTGCCATTCTCTTCTAAACACTACAGTATTAACAATGATATATATGGCATTTACATTGTATTAGGTATTACAAGTAATCTAGAGATGATTTAAAAGTATGTGAAAGAATGTGAATAGGTTATATGCAAATATTTATATAAAGGACTTCAACATTTGTAGATTTTGGTATCCAAAAAGGGGGTCCTGGAATCAATCCCCCATGGATATTGAGAGAAGACTACACCTTGCATTCCCCTAGGGAATCATATATACTTCCACTGGATCAATTATCACATATGACTGCCAACTGTTTACTTGTCTGATTTCCCTACCAGGTTGTGTCCTTGATGGTGTAAAATCAGACTAATATAGAGCAGTTGTTTAATGAATAAATAAAGTTCATTAAGACATCAACCATCTTTCCATTCCAGCTAACATGGGACACTCTCTAGCATAGCATATATACTTAAAAACATTTGTTGATTGTTGGACTGTTAAAAAGTAGGATGAAATAATTTTTGAAGCATGACACCCAATTGCTATTTGCTAAATAAATGAATAAAGACATAATGGTAAAGAAAAGAAAAAAGAAAAAGGTCAAATGAATCAAGGAACAAGTTAATCCCAATTGAGAACTCTTTTAGGTATCATTAGGCGAACAAAAAAAAAAGTATACAAATAAAATTGTATTGTCAGGTTTTACCAAGTTTTAGCTGGCTACCCCAAATTTGATGCACTACTCCTCTCCACATTACAAGAGGTTTGAAGAACATTTAAAAACTAATCTTGTTTTTTATCCACTGGTTATTCTAATAAATCGTGTTTACATGCCTCGGTCTCTAGAAATTTCAAGTACTATGGACTCAACGATGATTTTTATTTTTAAAGACCTAAATTTTTAGGTATTTATTCAGAAACAAATACCATTGGGTAGTTTTGTAATATTAAGAAAATTACTTTGCCTTTCTAAGAAAACTGTTGTAGAAGATAAAAAAATAAAAGTACCTCACCTTATTTTTCCTGTTGTCATTGTACTTGATTAAGTCTAAAATAAACGTTAAGACTTCTTTAGGACAAAGATTATGAACATCTCTTAATAAAGCCATTGCAACTGGCATAGTCTACAAAAGAAAGAAAAAAAAGAACTTTTAAAAGCACATAACCTAACTTTTTGTTACTACAATTCATTGAACTATAAGTAGAAAAGAGTTACTCTTGGGCTGACACAGATATCTGGACGGATCCTAACACCTCCACATCCCAACCCCTCCCACTGACAACATATCTCAAAGCATTCTAACATAAGAGAAGAGCTGGGCAGGAAACTAAGGGAAGAGTTGCATGACTGCACATCACTCTGTAGGCTATGTGCCTTGGTCCTCATTTGCCGGAGGAAATACATGTGATGTAAATTATATAAATTCGCTTCTATGTGATACAGTGGAAAAGGCATAGATTTTAGAATTACTTCTGTGTAATACAGTAGAAAAGGTACAGATTTCAGCATTAGACAGACCATTATTCAATAACTAAACTCTACTACCTTCTGTGCTAGGTGTCTTTAGCTAGTTGCCTATTGAGTAGGAGCCTCATTTCCTCACAACCATTTTCAGGATTAAACGACATAAGTAGGTGGAGCCACTCAGTCTTAGAACAAACTGATTCTCCCAACACCTAATCCTCAGGAACACCCAATCCTCAACCTAGGGAAAAAATGATAAATCATCTGAAATGCAGCCTAATTTTTCTCCTTCCAAATTTTCACAGGCAACATTTTTAAGAAAGTAAAAACATGACTTACACACATTGGTTAACTCTGTCAGTAAAACAAACCTAATTAAATTCTAGGCAGGACTACAGATGACCAGACATCTTAGTCTTTAGCACATGGGGAGATATGGACTAACCCCTCTTACTCAAAATAATTATTCCTCTAAAATGGAGGTCAGAAAGGAGAATGGCTCATTTTATTGCTTGAAGAAGCAGAGATAACAAGAGCAACAATTGTCAGTGTTAGTACTATAGCAACAACTGAGGGAGAGGTTCTTTTCCATAGAAATACCTGTCTTATGCCCTCTCTGCCCTTTGAGACTCAAGTTTCATTTAGGTACCAATCTCTCTCTCTCTCCTGTCCACTAGAAGTATTATCAGAAAGGCGAATTGGAATAAAAGCATTGACTTTCCAATTTTTCTGACAGTAGCTAA